GACTTAAGCAAAACATGTTGCTGACTATGTGATTCAAGCTGGGTAATGCACCCTGTCTCAAAGCTCAGTTTATCTCAAACCGGTTTCTTGAATGTGACAATAAGTTTACTGTACTCAAATAACCTCCACAGTAATCAGATCTAAATCCAATAGAGCACCTTTGGGATGTGGAGGAATGCAAGATTTGTATAATGTGTGTGCTGGCAACAAATATACAGCACCTGTTTTGTTATCATGTCAACAAAATCTCAAACTAATGTCTCCAGCATAACAGGGTGTCCAACCCAGTGCTAACAAGGTGTACCTAATATTGTCCCCGATATTTCCTAAAACTTAAACTATATGCAGCTATTGATTTGTTTTAAACTCTTCTTTGAGAGCTGTATTTATTCTGTTGATACCAAATTTTGCAGGCGTTACAGATGCATGGAGAAATCATAGATGGCATTACCATGATAATGCAGTTCAAGAGAGCAACAAATTGCCACTGAAGACATGAATATTGTATTGTAATAGATGGGCGTTGGAGCTATATATAGTGCAGTGTCACAGCAAGCTCCACATAAAGCACAGGTACACGCACATACAGCGCGCAGACACATTCCAGGTGACGTAACACTAAATAATTACGGTTACATCCGCTCGATGTGTCCTTGTGTGGAGTTTTATTGTGCAACTTTACCCTCAGCTATAAACAAATGGCTTAAAACTGCCTGCCCCTTACTGACTGTGAGAGTAATTAGAGTATGAGACTGTTAACACATGCTCTCAAAGAGAAATGATCAACGGCAGAATGAAAACTTTCCTGTCCTGTCTGCAAAAAACGTTCACCTCAAAAACACGGCATCTTTGATGATTCTAATAGCATATTAGCTATTGGACACAAATTTGCTTGAGGTTAAAATCAATAATCATCAAATCAACATATAGAAATGACTAAGCAGCATTTTCATAAAGCTGCGGGAGCACTTTCACATCAGGCCCCCCTCGCGCCCCACTACCCACTGGGAGAAAATGACCACAAACACGTCATAATTAATCTATCCCCCAGCAAGGTGCGGTTGTCTTGACAACAACAATTTTCACAGAGGGTCATCATTATCAGCCGTGCACTACACAAAACAATGTGTGCCTTTTAAATAATTTGGTCATTTAGAGGGTTTCGATGCTGTCTGGTATCCTTGGAGCAGCCTGCTTCTGGCCTGACCATAGTTGCCCCAAGTAACAGGACATGAAAAACAAAGACGTGCAAAGTCAACTACCTCTGGATAGGATTCAAATTCAAGAACACTGCTGACATTGGCCGAAAGGAT